TCGAAAGTGATACAAATTCTTCAAAAAGTGGATCAAATTCATTTTGCACTTGGTGACACTGCTCCCGACAACAATTTGTTGAACACATCGTGACTCCTTGACGGAACACCGAGTTGTGAGCTTCCGAACGCCATGGACTCGCGCGGCAAGACGCAGAGGCCCCCTCAAACGTCTACTGGTGCGACGACTGAGCGAACCATGGACAAGCCAGCCGCGCCTACGCCAGAGAAGCTTGTATTGCTGGCGTCCACCGGTTGGCTATTCCCAAGGGGACGTGCGCTGGTTGGGCTTGTTGTGGTAATCGCTGCGGCGATCTCACACCTCATCCCACCGTCTTTTGCACCACAGGCGTCCAGCAATGCACGACGTTTCCTCACGATGGTCAACGTGTCGGCGCCGACATTGCTCATGTACCAAAGCGACATCGTGACCATGACACCACGGTCTCTATTGTCGCCGGATCCCATCGTGCGGACGCCCATTTGTCGCATCCAGCGACGACGGCACAACCTCGCTTGTCTCTATTGAGTATGCTCTTGGTCACACTGGTGACCTTCGCCGTGACGGACACGTGCTCTTGCTGTTGAATGGCGAGAACCATGGACTCCTTTTCGACTGGTCTTCGTCATCGCCTTGTCTTTTTGAACTGGCGGAAGTGGCCGCGACTATGCTTGGCATGGACATGGCGCAATTTTCAAACGGCTTGCGATTGTACAGCATGAACGGCCGGCAGATTTCCACTGCGGCAGAACTCGACAGCATACGTCCTGGTAGATTTCCCGCTGTGGGGCTGGCCCGGCATCAAAATGGGCCACACGCGAGTCTTGGACAGCAGCGTAACGCTCATGACACTGCCGCTTTCGCCTCTGGTCTTTGATGTAGCAGATTTCTTCTCGGCCGAGGATGCCGAGTCCATTATTTCAGAAGGCGGGCAGCACATGGAACGGTCTCCCGTTGACGGTGCCGAGGACGGCAGCGACTACGAAGACCCCCGAACAAGCTATACGGCCTTCCTCAACGATTCTGCGCTGACGCGGGACTTTTGCCGTCGAACGGTGCGTCTCACACGGCTGCCATGTCCGGCGTGTGTCGAGCGCCTCCAGCACGTTCGGTACGAAGAAGGGCAATGGTTTCGCCAGCACGAAGACTACTTTGATTCGATGGACTTTTTGAACCGCAACGAATTGCACTGGTCCATGTATCAAGATTGGCTGGAACATTTGCTGATGGTCCATGCAGCATTCCCACGCCGCCGCGCCTCAGTGGCGAGGCCCAGTACTTTCGATGGCTGCGATGGGCAAATGAGAGAGTGGCTGTCCTTGGCGCGGATGTCCCCCAGGCATTTCAGCCAGCCGGCAAGCACTTTCCCACGTTTTCTCGTGCGTACCAGACCACAGTGAGTGGCTCTGGCGCTGCTGACACTGTCCGCTCCTTGACGACTGGAGTGGGGTAATTCTATGCTTGTAGGTATTGAAATGGATGATTGCCGACGTCTCGCGGGACGACTTGACCTGCGCAGTGAACGGAGCTGGGTCGATTGGCTCATCGAGAACGCGAACGCGGACGCTACTGGAGCTCCTGGCCATTTTCCCCGACGTGTTCCGTGTCGTTGCTGGCGTGTTTGCCGCGATAGCGGGACCTGCTTTCACCTACGAGTGCGTGCCTCTTGCTCGGACTGTTTGACCTGATTGCAGGATCTCCGACATTGTCAAGTACCAAGAAGCCCACCGCTTCGTCACTCTGTTCATGTACTTGAACGACGTGGAGGAAGGAGGAGAGACGGTGTTTCCGTACTCCAAAGAGCGCCTTGTGACGGATATTGACCGAGGAGCAATGTCCGAGTGCTCGGATGGCCTGGCGGTGCCCTCCCCACTCGGCTTCGCGCGGCATTGTTTTACGCCCAGACGGGGACCAATGATCTCGATCCGAAGAGTCTTCACGGCGGGTGTCCGCCCAAGAAAGGGGTCGAATGTACGTGTCCATGAATTGTCAATGAATTCCAAAGCACAAGCACGATGAACAACGCTACCCTAGACGGCGCGAACTTGTTTGCGTGAAACTCGGACGCGGACGAAGGCAGCGATTTGTGGGACGCTTAACCAAGCGCGACGTGCTGTGTCTGGAGCTGCTGCAGACGCTGGTCGCGCGCCTTCTTCTTGGCGGCCATCTCGGCGATTTCGACTTTTCGTTCGTAGTTGGCGACTTCTTGCACCAAGTCGTACATTTCCGCCTTTTGGCCGACAAAGTCCAAGATCTAGCGACACACATAATGTCCCCGATCGATCGCGTGGAAAAATCGGTGGCTCGTGTACCTGGGGCATGTCGTTTGAATCGTCGACGGCTTTATTTGCACTCAGACCATGCAATCCCTTGGAGTCGCGAGCAATGTCGTCGGTGACAGCGGTCAGCTCGGCGCGCACCTTGTCGTTGAGCTCCATGCGCGTCTTGATCTCGGCCCGGAGCCACACCGACTCGTCGATGAGATCGTTGAGTTTTTGCTTGAGCGAGTTGAGGAGCTGCACCGTGTTGCCGGTCGTTTGTTTGAGTTTGAGCAGCTCGTCGTTGCGCTCTTCAATCTTGGCCACGTACTGCTTGTTTTCAATCTGGAGCTGGTGAAAGTCAATGTAGTGGAGGGCGTCGCCCATCTCTTCCTTCTGGCGGAGCTGTGCATCGATCTTTTGCGCTTGGCTCTTGAGCGTTGCGTTCTTTAGCCGCAGCTTCTCCACGATCGCGTCCTTGGCACGCAGCTTCTCCTCCATGTACCGCACCATCTTTTCTGCCATCGTTTTGCCCGTCCGAAAGTTCTCGGCGCCAACAACGATATCCCGCTTGAACTCGTACGCATCCATCTTTAGTTCCGCAATGCGAATGTCCGTCTCTTCCAGCACCGCTCGCAACGTGTCGATGAGCCGCTCCGACGTTCGCTTCGTCTCTTCCACTTCCTTCTGTGCATCTTCGAGCTCGGCGCTGCAAATGTCGTTCTTTTGGTCGATCGTGATCGTGGCGGGGGGCCGTCCCCGGTTGTTGTTGATCGTGGTGGCCAGGTTGTTCGTGCGCTTCTTCGCATTCGTCACCCCACCCTTCTCACCTTTCTCCCGCTTCTCCTCTTCTTCTACCATCGAGGTGGGCTACGGCAGCCGCATGAGCTCCACCAGGATGTGCGGACATAGCGCTACCTGGGCATTGCGCTTCAAGTACGACTCGAGCAGTTCGTTCTCGTGTGCAAGCTGCTCGTTTTGTCGAAGGGCCTCCTCCAACTGACCGTGCCACATGAGTCGTGAATATGCGTACAAGATGGGCATCGTACCTTCGCTTCTAGCTCTTCCAAATCGTCGTCGACGTGGTCGACCATGTTCACCAAAGTTGGATGCGGCGACGACGGTTTCAAGGGATGAAACCGATCAACGAACTGGCACAGGACATGGACCCCATCAACAGGCAGTCCCTCGTCGCATGCGACGGTAGCGTCGTGCAGGACGGACGACAAGAATAGGTTGATGAAGAATTCACTCGCTCCTGACTACGCTGGGTCTTCGTGTCCCCTGCGCAATACGTCTACCTGACTTTGCTCCTGAAGCCAGGGGGAGAAATCTGGACTTACTCATCGTTCGTGTTGGTTGATCCATCCTTGTGGATGCCAATGAATGCTCCACAAAGCCACAACTACCGCATGCAAAGCTGCGTAGATCTTGGGGCCGTGAACCACGATGAGCGTGCGTGCGCAGCCTCGCGGACGCCTGCCCCATGACCGCATATCAGTGCTATTGATGCTAATGAGGCGTTCTTTTTTCGAATGAATAAAACATTTTCACAACAACTATACAACGTAATCGATATTTATATTCTCAGAAAATATCTGCCTTGCCGGATGAACGTATCCGGACAAAATCTTTCCTCGATGGACGTTCCAATGTCGAAATATATTTGTTTCGCTGGGGAGTGTAGGTTTTAACTTGTCATATATATGGCAAGATGAAAAATAAAAAGAGTCGTCGACCTGACTTGGGACTTGACCCCGAGAACACCTCTGTCCATTTCCAGATATTCCTCGACGCCAGGATGCAGCGGTTGGCGAAGTGGGGTGTCTTGGCGGTGTGCACGACGGCCGCTCACTCGGCGGACGTGAACGAATGGCCCTCCGTTGAGGTACATGATGGCTTCCCCCTGGATGATACTCATTTGCGTTATGTAGAACGACCACACGAAGTTACAAATTGTGTTGCCAGAGTCGCTGCAGAAGAAAGACGGCTACGTCCACAAGGACGCCCTGTTTGGCTACCCTGGCTACAGTGTCGGATCCCTGCAAACCCAGCTCATCTACGTGAACGGCACTGGCTGCGAAGACTTTCCCAAGGGAGCCAACTGGGAGCCTCCTTATGCGCTCATGATTGACCGTGGCGACTGTGTGTTTGTGGAGAAAGTGCGGCGTGCCCAACATGCTGGCGCACGAGCCGTCGTTATCGCTGACAACAAGTGCCTGTGCACGGACCAAGACTGCATGCGTCGAACGGGCGATGCGTTTTGTGAAACGGTGTTGCCGTACATGAATGACGATGAGTCTGGAGGCGATATTACGATTCCGTCCATGATGATCCGCAAGGCCGACGCCGACGACATCAAGAAGACGATTTCGCATTCGAAGGGTGTGAGCAACGTCATGGTCAAGTTTGACTGGGGCATTCCGTCGCCGGACGGTCGCGTGGAGTGGACGATGTGGCACAGTTCGTGGGACGAGCAAAGTACAGTGCTGCTCAAGGCAGCGGAAACAATTGTGAATGCGCTGGGCGATCGCGCGTTCTTTACGCCACGATTCGTCATGTACAACGGATCGAAGGTGGGGTGCGACATTCACGACGGCGTCGATCCGTGCGGCAACATGTGCATCAACAAAGGACGCTACTGCCTCATGGATCCTTCTCCATTTCACGACCGCACGGAAGGTGCTGCCGGGTCGGACGTTGTGATTGAGAACCTCCGTCGCAAGTGCATTTGGGACATTGCGTCGAAGGAAGACCCGGGCGTGGGGAAGAAGTGGTGGCGTTATGTCAACATGTTTGCGGACGAATGCAACACGCGGGAGGAGACGTTTATGAGCAAGCGATGTGCGATGGACGTGATGAAGAAGGCCAAGATCGACGTTGGGGCCGTCGAAGAGTGCATGCAGCCGTACGGTCCCAATGTAGACGAACCGAACCCGTGGCTCGAGGCCGACTTGGAAGAACAGACGGCGCTGCAACTTTTGCGTCTTCCGGCGCTATTCGTTGACGGTGTCCATGCTCGTGGTCGCATTGATGCAAGCGGGGTGATGAACATGATTTGCGCGGGTTACGGCATCCACGACCCACCCTCCATCTGCAGCTGCTCTGATCAAAACAACATGGCTCTGATTAACTGCGTCAAGGCGGGTGGAGCGGCGTCTGGTGGCGCGTTGGGTGGCGGTGTGAGTATCACCACCCTCGTGGTCATATTGGGTTTGGCTGGCATTGCCGTGGCGTCGGCCGGGTATGTGTACTGGAAGCGCAGCCAGCGACAGATGCGCGATCAGGTGCGAAGCATTTTGGCCGAGTACATGCCGTTGGAAGACCAATCGGACGAATTGGATGGGATGATGGGCGGGACCAAGTTGCATCCTGCGGCGTTGGCGGCAGCCAAAAGTCCGCGGGGGTACATGCCCACGAATGGATTTATCATGACGGAGGATGACGACCGGGCATGAGAAGAAGCATAATATAGCTACCGTTTTGACTCGTCCTTGTTTGGCCATGCGACCCACTCGGTTTATGTGGTGCGGCAAAGGTGACAGGAGTGCACGCTGCGGCGACTGCTCGCGCGAGCGGTCTCAAAGCTACGACGGGCTCTTGGTGGTGTGCGGGACGTGAGGTGTGTCACGGAAGCTGCGACCCATCGACAAGAAGAGGGGTACCGTATGACGGCGACGAGGTGCCTCTTTCATCTGGTCATGAACTCGGGTCGAGAGGCCGCCAGATTTGAATTCGACATGGCGGACGAAGGGCGGACAGTGGCGCTGACGACGCGCAACGTCATCGACGTTGCCGTGAGAGACATTGCGTCGTGGTCGACCGCGGCGTCGAATGTTCTCCTCGATCACACAAACACCTCCAACGAGACGATCTTGGTGCTAGCGGCTTGTGTGGCCCGTTTGATCGAAGCGGTGGAGGCGTGCAAGGCAGCCGCACAAGTTGTGTTGGACCAGTTGAAAGTGCAATGCGAACCTGAGAGGTCTCCGGCGGAGACACGGGATGCTCCAGTCGAAGCCACGTCCGGCGACAGCGCCGAGCCCCACTCGACCACTGACACGTCCGGCGCGTACCTGACCAAGGACGAAGTCGACGCGCTCAAAGTGCCGTCTACTCCCGTCGACACGTCCTCGACATTTGAGCCCGAGGTCCGTCTGCCCCGACATGCCTCACCAAAGTCTATATCGTAGCTGCACTTGGACCCATTGAACCACCTCCTGTTTGTCATGCACGGCATCGGCGAACTCTTTCACGATTGCAAGTGGCACCCCCGACCTTCCGCGAGCTCCTTCGCACGATGCGCAATGCGATCGTCTCGTCCTCGACGCGAACGGGCATTCCATTGTGCTGGTCGTTTGCGTAGGGATGTCCCCCTGTCGCTCGAAGTGCATCGAGTGGCACAACGAGGTGCACGCGACCGGCGTCGACACGGTCTTTGACCGGATTGCCCCCGATGGCTCGGACAAGTAGATGATGCCTTCCACCGAGACAAGCGCTCGCACTGTGTCATGTAGGATCCGACAATTCAATAAGCGATCGTTCATGGACGTGCTGTACTACACGGCCCCCAAGTTCGCCCAACTCATCACGGACTCGGTCACGAACGAGCTCAACACCAAGTACCAAGCGTTCATCGCTCGCGACCCAGGCACGCCCCGTCGTCCAAGCGTCTCGCATCCGAGCATACCTCGATCGGGAGTCGGGTGGAATGGCCGCGATCTTTGCGCACTCGTTGGGGACGATCCTCGCCTACGACATCCTTACCCACGAGCGCTGGCGACGTCTCGCGCAATAATGTTCGCTATGGCGGTCTCGAGTTCCCCGTCGAGAATTTCTTCTGTGCAGGGTCCCCCGTCCCGGTCATGGTGCTTTCTCGAGGCGACATCGACGCGGACGGACACGGAGCGCTCACGGAACCGATCAAAATCCCCAAGGTGACGAACCGGTACTTCAATATCTTCCATCCGTTCGACCCGATGGCGTCGAGCCACACGTGTGCATGTGCCAACTCGTTCCAGTCGAGTTGGTCGCGGTAAGGCATTTGAGCCCATCCGCCGCGTGCTCACCAGACTCGGCGCTAGGCGGTCGCATTCAAGTCGAGATCGTTAGCCGCCGTCGCGGCTGCCTACGACGCGATCGACCCCAACCGATCGCGCCACGACTTTATGCTGCGCAAACAGCCCGGCGAAGGCGTCCTTGACCTGGCGTACGCCCCGTTTTCCCATTCTTCATACTGGGATGTCGCAAGACACGGTGCTCTTGACGCTGTTCCAGCTGTGCAAGCCAGTAGGGGCGTTGTTGACGTCGGCGGTGGCGAGCTCACGGGATGTTGCACGTGGTGGACGAAATCCGTCGGTACGTTCAAGCAGGGAGGGCCGTCCCCCGGCTGATGCCCCCGGTGGTTGGCCAGGTTGTCCCCGCACCTCGCTTGACGACCATGGCGTCCGTGCGCGATCACACGACGGGTGGATGGTCCTCGAAAGTGATCTGCTTGGGCCACCACCATGTCTACGTCGTCGAGTCCGTTGCAGATGTCGCGTGCCAGATCCGATGGTCCATCTCGTTGAACGCTGCAACGGTCCGTGTGGAAGCGGTCGAGTCGGACCCGTTGGCGTTCAAAGTCGTGCCGGACACGTCAAGCAAGATGAGCTACATGCCGCCCAACTCGTCGGCAAGTGGTCCGCAACGGATCAAAGCATCGTCGCCGAAACAGCGCGACGAGTGGGTGCGTGCGATACAAGCAGCGTTGGAGCCCCAAGATGATGACGAGGCGTACATGCTCAACGCGCATGACGTCCAGTTGCCCGTGGGGGCGTCCGTGGGGTACTTTGGGGCGCGCCAGACGGGTCGACTGGGTTACATGTGGGGTTTCAAGTGGTTTGTCCTCTCCACGACTGCATTCGAATGCTACGACAACGTCCCCGCCGTCGACAAGAGGACCCAGTATCCGTTGGACAAGGTTTGCATGTCGACGGAACCTCGGAGCCTTCGCTTTCTCGATTCGTCCGGAGCAGATCTCTACATCAAGGTGCGGCGCCGCTCGACCAGTGGGCGAACGCGATCCGCGACACCAACGGGTGCGCCGTCCTCGGCGACGACATGCCCTAGCGCTGGCACATTCCAAAGAAAACGTCGCGCCGCCACATTGAATTCCATGCCGTTGTCTCCTTGACTCCTCTACATGCATCCCGCTTGACGCGCACACATGGTATGACTGGTGGCCACCTTGGCGGCCCTCACGACGCCAGAAAACACCTCTCTCAACGAAACGAGAACCGCGTCCTCAACGGGCAGATCTTGGGCAGACGCAATCGATCCGAGGGGCTTTCCCGGTGGTCAACTTCCCGCACACCAGCTACGCGTGGATGGAAGCAGAGCTGAACGCCGCTGGATCGGGCATTGCGTTTATCACGTGTAAGCTTTGGACCATTCTACATCGCACTGCGTTTTCGTCCTTGCGGTGGCTAATTGGGCATGGCTGGTCTGGGCGCACGCACCCCTGTAGTTGTTGTATCGAGCCACGAGATGCTCCCGAATGCCGTGCGCGGTCCCACCACCGAACGGGCAACCCTCACCGCTTTTATGCCCTGCACCCCACAGCCGACGTCAACTCGATGTGTGGCAGTGCGTTGTGTTATCGTGATGGGTTCGAGTCGTATATCTTGCTCATTCATCGCCGTAGCTAGGAGATGCTTTGTCGACGTCCAAGAACTGGCTGAGGATGAGTTTCGCCGCATGGTTGTTGTTGCACATGGTTTCAATGTTGCCCAGGTACGTGTTGAGATGGCTGCACTTGGCCGAGAGGTACGTCGGGTCGAATTTGCCCCACAGGCGAGTCGACGGCAGTTGTGGCATTTGTTCGTGGGGAAAGATCAGGCGCAGTTGGCGATTCAGTTCCCGGAACGCGCTGTACCGGCGCAGGATCGTGTGCCCCTCCGTGTGGATGCGGATTTGAAACGCAGCGTACGCGCCCTTGTCGTCGTTCAGGACAAAGTACTTGTCGACGCTCAAGCGATGCACGGACGGAAGCTGCGAATCGAGCGACACCCCCAACGCGCTGTGATCGACCACGTCGTCCTGCAGCTGCACGTCGCACCGGTCGATTGTTTCCAGCCCCTGCTTCCACACGTCAAACGTCCGCGAGTCTTTGACCTTCAAGTCCAGCGCCGTGCCGCTCTTGGACACGATCCGAACGAGGCACCGCGTCGGATATGCCAGCACGGTCGTTCGATGCACGGGAAACTGCACGAGCCCGACCAGGTTTGGGCACGTTTCGTAACAATCGAGCGACGTGCTAGTCAAGACAAACCACCGCGTATTCCACCCCTGGCTCTCGTACCAGCTCTTGGCTTTGACAGTCTTGAATTGGAGGAGGCTCGTCTTGATCGCGCCAAAGTAGTCGACGCATGACCCGGATGGCAAGTCGAGCCCGACGGTGCAGATCGACATGCTATGCCAAGGACACGTGAGCGAGAACGACCGACACCGACTGGCCAGGACGTACGAAGGAGGGAGAGTGATGTGGTGTGAGAGGTTCTGAATGGCTTCTGTGATCGCTGCCAGCCATTCATCGCGCAAGTCGGTCGTGGACGCGCGAAGGATTTGTGTACAAGATGACGCGGATGGCGTCTGCGGCGCCGGCGAGAAGCGGAGATTCCGTCCGCTTCCTCCAGTTGCAGGCGTGGTGGCTCTCGATTCGTCGGGGGACACTTTGAGCGTAAATGCATCGTCGCCCAGCTGAACGACCAACTTGGACGTCAACGGAATCGACCACTTTTTGCGGCACCCGATGTCGTCTGCATTCGCGGCCAAGTAGATCCGCTTATGGTCCAAGACCGCCGTCCGGGTCTGCCATGCTCCCGTTGCTCGATCACGTGCGAGAACGGTCGTCGCAATGCGAACTTTCGAGTGGGGGGTGATGGGGACCAGCCCTTTTGGACACAGCGCGGGCAATGGGCGTTGGGCACTCATGTAGCGCCGGAGCTTGTCCACAACCTGTGTCGACGTGGTCAGCAGCCATCGCAGTGGGTCCGTGGAAGCGTCGTCGTACCGGTCGACAGATTTGCATGAGGGTAAACATGACCACGTCGTCCGAGTCCCAGCAGGCCGAATGCGACGCAGCAGCGTACGCGAGCTCAATCACGCCCTCTCGACTGCGACGCCGCATGACATAATCGATGCGCGGACAAGTGAAGCCTGGTGCTGGGGCTGTGATACGTTCCCACATTTCTTGCATTTTGGCAAACGGCATGTTCTTGCAGTGTTGCGCCTGTCGGGTCGGTGAAACAATCGACACACTTCATGTTCAAGCACATACTTGGATGAGGGGCACGGGCGGCTTGTCGTGCATGTCCGGGTGAATCAACGGCTCGACGCGGTACGCAATGGGGTCGATGGGGTGAAAGATGTTGTAGTAGTGGTTGCAGCGGGGCATGGTGATGCCGGGGGTGAACTTTCCGTCTTTCAGGTCGAGGCCGCCGCGCGACAGAATCATGACCGGGACCGGCGATCTACAACAATCGTCGGAGCCAGCGACCGTAGCACGACAGTACCCGGCGGCAAAAAAGTTTTCAATCGAAAAATCCAGCCCGGAAAACTTGACCCCGTTCTTTGCAACGCTGCCGGCCGCATGCGTTAGAATATCGTACGTGATCACAGTCCCCAGCGAGTGAGCAAAGATCGAGATCTGGCCGTTCCAGCCTACGTCATGCCACCGAGTTGGCCGCAGACGTCCGTCGCGGCGGACCTCATCGTACCCGGGTGCTCGTCCATAAACACTTTGTACTTTGTGTTGAGCTGGTCCGTGACGGAGTTGACCACGATTTGCCCGTACCCAGGCGACAGGTAGTAAAGGATATCCATGAACGTGTCCTTGTTGAATTGGCGAAGTCTACAACATGGCACATCGGTCAGGCATCGGTCGCACGAACGCTGACCACACCCTTGCGACCCTTCTGGGCAAATGATGTCAAACACGGCGTCAACGCCCGTGGGTTCATGCAGCTCTTCGTGCCACTCGATCGATTGAATCTCGAGCGCGACAGGTATTTCCCTACGATGCAGCATGTCGTCCGTGGCATCGCTCTACATCCAACTCTCTCACTTGAAGTGCGTGTCTTGCATGGTGCGAAACATGTCTCGAAAGGCGCGATTCGATCCGGCCGCCGCCGTTCCTTCCACGTACTCGCCTTCCTTGAAGTCGCCGTGCCGCCCAATGCCATGAATCACAAACATCAAGTGATTCACTGTGTCCAGGAAGAGCTACGTCATGGCCTCGGGTTAGCCCACGATTGGCGGGGATCAAAGAGTACCTCGGACGGATACGAGTCGTCGTTGACGACTCCGCAGTCTGAGCTCTCGACCGACAACGTTCGACAAAGTGGCAACGACGTAGTTTCGGAAGGTTTTGCAGCGGCACGGACCTTGGCCTTCCGTCGATTTGCGCGGTAGTGCGCCGTGAGCAGCATTGTCCGTTGGTCCATGTTTGCCAGCAACCGTGCAAAGTCCAGGATGAACTCCGCGATCATCGCGTCCGTCATTTCTGTCTCGAGGTAGGCATAGAACGCGTCGGCGGATTGTTTTCCCGTGCCAAACATCATCGCTTGGTCTTTGAAGGCCTCGAACCTGCCGTCGTCACCGAGGGTGTCGTGAATGCGAGAGATCACGACGCTGTTCAGCTCGGCGGCTTCGTCGCCGTAGACTGGTTCAATTTCTGGTAAATCAATGTCGTCGTCGTCATCTCCATCCTCATCGTCGTCGTCTTCATCGCCTTCCGTTGCATACTCTTCGGAATCGTCGGGGCTGCCGTTGGGCGGCTCGGTGTATATTCCGATGGAAATCGATACGTCGGCGTTGTCTGGAGCTTCATTATCCGATGCCTTGGACGCTGCGCTGTCGAGAAAGTTGTGCAGGAACTGCAGAGCCTTCGCGAGTGTCAATGTGCACTGGTCGATCGCTTGTGTTGCAGCTGTCACCAAGGCAGTGTCGACCAGTTGTCCATTCGAAGACGACGCCGGCGGGGCAACCTTCAGAGCTACGTCCAAGTCACTGCGCGCCTGGAGCAGCCAAGCTCGGTACTCGTGGAGGGGGGCCGCGGGTGTCGTCGCCTCCAGCGTCATCGTCCGTCTTGGCCCTCGGATGACGTCGCAAGTCTGCTTGCGAATAAGTTCAAAATATCCAACGGGACGGCTCACATTCTTGCATACTCTTCTTTTGTCCGAAAAATATGGATAAAGCAACCAGACTCGGTCAAATAATACAAAAATTGGGAGATTATTTGACGCACTAGTCGTGTCAAGAGATTTCAAGACATTTTCAACGAGTTTTGATGAATTTTTCAACTTCAACTTCCCAAGTGCCTTTGTATGCTTTGCACCGAAATATAAAATTATACAGGTAAAGGAAATGCGTTCGACGGGTGCGGCGTCAGCAGCGGTTCTTGGGCACTGGATACCATGGAACATGGCTGGATCATGCCAGATCCGTGAAAACCTTGTATGCGTCGACGACATTTGCCGCAGTTGTAGTATATTACCGCACGACGGCCACCCGTCGTTGATGGAGCCTCGAGTCTTCGAGTATACTGCCTTCGAATTTGCTCGATCCTCGTGCGTACACCATGGCTCACGGTCAACCACGTTCGCCTGCTCCCAAGCATTTGATCCCCGTTTTAGTCTTCACGGAATTCCTCGGGTCGGGCAAGTCGTCGCTCTTCAACTGTATCTAGCATCAGCACGACACACGCGGTGTCGTCGCTTACAACTAGTGCGACGTGCCAAGAGCCGATGAACCTGTTGTTGATCCAGTCCTGGATTCAGGGCTTGATGCCAACAGAGGGCAAAAAACTCCTCCGGTACAAAGGCAACTTTCCAATCCCAGGCAAGCGAGCACCTGCTCGTGTCCAAGCCGTTGTCATGCTCGTCCAAACGTTCTTTACCACGCCGTGGGCCACCAACTCGGAGCGCACGAGCCGCTTAGTCTTTACCGACCGCCATCTGGGCACGTGGAAGCTCGAGGAACGCTTCATGATCTTTTGCTTTGCCGTCTCGGGTCCGAGGCGAACGTCACCCGTGGGTTGCCGAGGGCATGACGGGAATTCGTGCCGCGTGGATTGTGGCACAGACGTTTGGGCTCGCGTGGACGACAATGCATTCATTCGGGTCAGTCAATTTGTGTGAATGCACTGCGTACTCGCACGTCCCAACAGAGCTCGACTTACTCGAGCGCCGACAGAGACTAAATCGCTTCACCATGCAAATAGATACCACGAGAGACTGTCCTGCGCACCCTCGTGAGCCCTGCTATCGTTCGTTGCGTTGGCATTTTATCTATGGTAGCTGCACACACCCTTTGGCTGCGAATCGGTGATCGTCACGGCTTTTCCTGCCTGTTCGTCTCTTGCAGCCTCACGGCCCTTGCACGACGGCGGCACAATCTTGATGGGCTTATCAAGCACAACTCAGCGCATGGGGCGTACAACGAGTAGGATGCAAATTCCGTCGTTGGGTTGCGATTCGTGGGTGCGGTGCTACGGGAGCAGCTCCGCAAGCACCACGCTGGTGAAAAATGGGGCATTCCAAAGTCCATCGCGACGCACGGAACGGCGCTCCACGAGCAGGACGGCCCACACAACCCTCTCGAGTTTGCCCTCCACATTCGAACTCTGAAGTTGCAATCTCGGTGGTGTACCAGTCGCCCCCGTTGAATATGCTGCGACGACTGCGATCGAGTGTGACAAAAGAGCATCGTTCGCTTCACGACGTCGCTCTCATGGACTGCCCGAAAAACCAAGAGGGCGATGGCACATCAACAGAACATGTTATCGAGCAGCTAGATTGACGCCCAAACACCAACGAAAGCTAGACTACGGCTGGCGAAGCACGACGTGGCTGGCGCACTTGAGCAGCTCGGCAAACACGATCGTAAGGACGGGCCCGCCAAACCCGAGGAGCCATTGCCATGCCATGAGGTGGACCAGGCCAAACACCGTATTGACACCGGGAATGTGAATGAGACCGAGCGTCAGCGCGAGCGACAGGGCGGCCGCGACGTGGAGGTACTTGTTTTCAAACATTCCAACCCACACGGGCGCGGTGAACGAGCGGACAGTGTACGCGCGCACGACTTCGGACATCGTGATGCTGACAAAAGTCACCGTGCGCGCCATCGAGATCCCCGACCGGGCGCAGTTGTCGTCATTGATGTCAAATTCGGGGCCGAACCCAACGGATTCCCACACGCCAGACGCAAAGTTGTACCGGGAGCACACCGGATGATAGTCCGCGCTCGTGAACCGGTCCACATCGAGCAAGTCGGCTTGAAGCACGCCTCCCACCGAAAAGAAGAGAGCCGTCGAGTACACGCCGAGCGTGACGAGGAAGATGATGAGCGCATTGCCCACGATGCTCACCATGAGCGTCTTGCCATGGATGATGTGCTGTTTCTTGGGGCGCGGCGGCTGAGACATAATGGACGAGTCGCCGCGCTCCATGCTCAACGCCACACCCGGCATCCCGTCCGACAGCAAGTTGAGCATGAGAATTTGCAACGGCTCGAGTGGAATCGGCATCCCGACAACGATCGTCGTCAAGATGAGGAGGATTTCACCCACGTTGGTCGAAAGCAAAAACACAACGAGCTTTTGAATGTTGGCGTAGATGACGCGGCCGCGTTCGACGGCGGCAACGATCGAGCAAAAGTTATCGTCCGACAACACCATGTCCGACGCGCCCTTGGCCACACTCGTGCCCGTGATCCCCATCGCGACACCAATGTCCGCCTCCTTCAAGGCCGGGGCATCGTTCACGCCATCGCCAGTCATGGCAGACACAAGGCCTTGACGGCGGAGCGACTTGACGATCTCGAGCTTGTCCTCGGGTTGAGCGCGAGCAAACACAACCGTACGAGCCGTCAACGCGTCGATCTCTTCATTCGACAGATACGCTCCATGCGGACGCAGGGCGGTGCAGTCCACCGCAGTCAGGTGCTCCGGCTTGTCCATGTCAATGCGGTGGTAGTCGTCCGAAGCGTTCGAGTTCTCGCCAAACAAGTTGATGTTCTTGGCAATGGCAATGGCCGTCTTGAGGTAGTCGCCCGTGATCATGACGGTGCGGATCCCAGCATCCCGCGACATTTGCACAGACTCCTTGACCCCGTCGCGCTCGGGATCGACGGACGCAAACAGACCCGCAAGGACAAATTGGGACGAAGTCGCGGCCGACGTGAACGCCGCCAACTTGCCTTCCGTTTCCAACGCGTTCGCCGACCCGTCCGGTTTTTCCCATGGCACCGCGTCCAGCCACGCGTACGCCACAGCCAACACACGCAGCGCTTCGCTCGACGTGTCGTCGACAAACTTCATGATCGCGTTCTTGTCCGACGGCGTCAACGGTCGAACTTGTCCATCCTTTCCAAGGATGTGCGTCGCCAGGTCCACAATCTTGTTGGGTGCACCCTTGGCAATCCCAATGAACGCCGTGTACGCGGCTCCTCCGTGCATGTGCGGGGGATGCATGTTGGGCAAGGCCATGAACCCATGGTCGTGGGTTTCATTGACCGAATGGATCGACACCATCATCTTGGTCTTGCTCGAGAACGCAATTTGGGCAACGCGAGGATGTTGCGCGTCCAAGTTGTCCTTCCAGATGCGAAGCTTGGCCGCGCACACGACCAACGGCGCTTCGGAAGCGTTGCCGACGCATGTCCACCGTCCATTCGCTGGCGAGTCGTCGCCCGAATCGTCGTCGCTTGTCTGGGTTAGCACGGTGTTGCTGCACAACACTGCCATACCAAGTGTACTCAGCAGCTGGACGTTGGTCTTGGCAGCGTCCTTCGTGTCGGTGTTTGTGCCAACCCACGACTGTTCTGGCTTGCCATCGAGCAGGACGTCCCCAGTGGGGGCAAAGCCCTTGCCCGTGACAACGTAGGTCAGGAAATCGCCCCACACTTTGACCACAGTCATCTTGCCTTCCGTGAGGGTGCCGGTCTTGTCGGTACATACGACGGACGCGCAGCCGAGGGTTTCGACTGCCGCCAGACGGCGCACGACAACGTTCTTCTTAACCATGTCCGACGTACCGACCGTCAGGCAGATCGTGACGACCATGGGAAGGCCCTCCGGGATCGCCGACACGGCTAGCGACACGGCAACCAACAACATGGTCAGAGCCACGGATCGATCCGGGTTGGTGGGGTCCCTCGTTTGGCGAATCAAGCCCACAAAGAACACGACGACGCAAATGGTGATCGCGCCCATGCCCATGAGCACACCGACACGGTGGAGCGCGGCTTGCAATGGGGTTTCGTTGGCTTTTTGGTCGAGGAATGGCTGCCGCACCTTGTTGACAAAGCTGCGAATGGCACTGGGCTTTTCAGTCTTGGATTCGTCCGCATCTTTCGCCGACGAGCCTTTGAGCAGACGCGCGATGCGGCCGACCTTGGTCGACATGCCCGTCTCCACAACGACGCCAGTGGCATTGCCTTCGGTCACGGTCGTGCTGGAAAAGCACATGTTGGTCGGCAGTAAAGTCTCGGTCGTCAATCCCGCGGCCGCGTCCGTGACGTACTTGGCGGTCTTGGCCACGTCCTTGGACTCGCCAGTCAACAACACTTCGCTCACAAAGAAATCCGAGTTTTGGACGAGCACAATGTCGGCAGGCACAAGGTCCCCCGGCACAAGCTTGATCACGTCCCCCGGCACTAGACGGGCCGTCTCGAGCACCGCCTGCGTGCCGTCGCGAACAACGACACACGTGGGCGACGACAACTTGGCGAGTGCAGCCATGGAGCTCTCCGCACTCTTCTCTTGGTAGGTCGAGATGGACGCGTTGAGAGTCACGATGAACAAGATAACGATACCTTCCGCCGTGTGGCCGATGAGTAGCGACGCAATCGCTGAAATGATCAGCATGATCACAATCAAGTTGACAAACTGCATCAAGAACGTCGTAAGGGCGCTTTGGGGCTTGACTTGGTCGAGCTCGTTGCGGCCGTACACTTCGAGGAGTTTGTCGGCGTCGGCGGTCGTCAGCCCAGACGTGAGGTTCGACGACAACTTGACCGCACAATCTTCCGGGGAAAGGGTGTACCAGAGGGTAGCTCCATCGCCAGCGGTCGCCGCCTCGTCTTGGTTTTCGAGGTGGAGTTGCGACAACGTACGGCGCGTTTGCTGTACGTCCTCGACAAGCGACCGCTCGACGGCGGACAAGTGGCGCAAGCTATGCTCACGCTCCTCGAGAGCCGCAGCTTCGTGGGCCGCCGCGTCCGGTGCGTGGACGCCAGGCTCAAGGGCGGCATACGACGTCGTCGGCGACGCGAAGCCGTCGAGCAAATGTTCATGGGCAATGTCAAGCGTCGCTTGGGTCACCGGCGAGGACGAAGGGTTGCGATCATTCATGCCACGGAGTGGAGAAAGGACGAAAATCCGAAAATGGCTATTCCTGGCGACGTAAACGTTCCAAACTCTTATGAGATATTTGAGACATGGTGCGACACGGCGGCAAGTGTACCTCCGGTCCACTCGAATCTCGGAAGGCCGCCATGTCACGGGCCGGATGGCGGTGGCGAAGAGCATGGGGCGATGGCTCTTCTCGTACTCGCCTTTGCAGTGACGGACCACGTCGGTAGTAGTCGCTCGAAGGATGTCCCCAGCGCCGAAACACGGTTGAGTGATGTGCTGGAAGCGATGGCCGGCGGTGCATGACATGGCGCCTCACAGTGTCCATCACGTTCGATCCACAACGACGTTGTCGATCGGCGCGCGTGCTGAAAGAGGGTTTTTGCTGGCAATCGGCTATCCGACGCCTCTGCCCCCAAGAACCTCCCAGTGGGTTCCTTGCGAGCGTGATTCTCAAAGATATGCCACAGAAATTGTAGCGCGCGCTACCCCCTGCGAAGTGCCGCGTGCATTCGATCGTGGCATGCTCCACGTCAAGGCAGCCACACCTATGCCCATCCCCTTTCCTGACATGAGTCGGTTCAACCAGGTGGGCGAAGAGGTGCGCAGGTAAGTTGAACACGTGTCGTTTGGTTGGCGTGTCGCGGGTCGGCCGAAGATTCAAATCGTCTGGTCATCGACGCCGTGCGCATGCACCTCGTCCAGCCCCGTCGTCCGTGATGTTGGAGAATTCGAGATTTTCCAGATTCGATTTTCCCATCTTGTTTGCTGCTTTCACATGCTTCCGACGAAGTTTCGAGCGCATTGCCGTCGGCATCCGTCGCGCATGTCTCCATTGGCACAACGGCGAGTCGTAGACTCTCTGTGACCCGGGGGACACACAGCGCGGAGGACTGTGGCGTGTGAATGGGGCAGCGTCCGTCCTAGGATCGGACGCGTCGTCGCCACCGCTCTCACAATCGCATCTGTTTGGACATGATTTATTTTTTCGCAACAATTGGTGCGACATCGAGGGGGGCCGTTCACGTGATCAACGACGACGGCAACGGGACTCCGGTACATCCCCCGACAACGACGCATCCGTCCAGGTAGTGCATGCTAGTGGTGTCCGATGCATGGTGGAGCACGGAAACTCGATCGCGCTCGCTCCATGATGTCCCTTGTAACGACCAGTTGTCCCTTTCAAATCGCCCCATGCGAATGAATCTCTGTGTCTCGTTGGCACGGCATCGTGTCCAACATCTATTGTGACTTCTGTACAGATCGCCCCAAGAGTGTGTCTCGGGCCTCTCGGCCACCCATGTTCTCGGCGCGGGTGCGTGGGTCAGTCTGGAATTGCTGGACATTGAAGAATAGACCACTTGTTTTTTTTGTCCAATCAAACAGCCGCCAACAAGCAATACAGAGCTGCTTAAAAAAATCTTTAAGTTGCGTTGATGCCGACAGACAACGAGGGAATTTAAGCCACATTTTCGGTCGAAGTAAATTGGAACGACAGCAATTTGATTGGTTGGTCTACTTCGAAATACGATAGATTGTATGACCGATGAAATTTCTCAATTTGCCAAGAGTAAAAAAATACAAAATATAATAAAATGGCAAAACCTACAAACAGTTTTTTGTACAAAACATCTGCATTTTTAATATGTTTTGCTTCGTTCAAGTCTCAAAATATCCTTTTGAAATTCTCTATCGATTGCACTTACATTGAGACTGGAAGCCAAAGTTATGATCAAAAAACCTCCACGCGGCGAATGCCGCGCCAACTGCGCTACGCAACATCTCATTAACATTTAGGAATTGCTTTGAGGACACTTGCTCGAACTTGCTCGGGTATGATGAGGTCCCATGCTTGGATTGCTCGTTTGATCGTCGTGATGCGTTTGACCTCACTACGGGGGACATCCAATCATTATCTGTGTCATCATCACTGCTTACCAAGTCTTCTGCAATCCATAGGTCACGAAGGTGCTTTTTGAAGGGTGCCATGACTGATACGTCGAGCGGTTGACAATGAGACGTAGCGTTGGGTGGCAGTGGACACACCTCAAAGCCAGTAAGTTCAGCTGTTACAATACCTTCCGCACTGACGTGGGATTCAAAGTTGTCTAGGACCAACAATGACTTCCCTGTGACGCGCTCGGCAAGGACCCACCACAGGTAATGTTGCCACACGCCAGAGTCTATCCATGCTTTTGACTGCATGGCGTAGTAGTGGCCGGCGGGGTAACTCGGAACCTCTTGGGTGTCAATGCGGCCACCGACTTGGCCACGAATGACGAAAAGAATCGGTAGCTTGGTTCCATCTCGTCGTATTGTCAACACCGCTGTCATGCGGTACGAATGTTTCTCCCCTTTTGACAGCTTTGAACCCCCTCGTTGTGCCCAAATGTATCTTGGCGGCATGTCAAAGTGGATCGCTGTCTCATCTACATTGTAGACGCAGTCGTCTTTGAAGTGCCCGTGCTTTGCGTGGAACTCCTTTGCGAACTCAATCTGTGTGCTTTCGAGGTCGGTGACGACGCGCTTGGACAAGCAGGCTTGCTGGTGAGTGTAGCCGTTTCGCCCACAGAATTCTTGAAGCAGTTTGAGTAAGTGGTCGTAGCCTCGTCCTTCCTTCTGACGCGCAATGTAGTCGCATAGCGATTGATGCTAATGTTTTCGGAGGAAGTTGATCATGTGCGTGTATGTTAGGGCACTCTCTTGTTGTCGGCGGGAGTTCATGAAGTCCAAGAGAGCAGATGGTTCAGGCAAAATTGCTGGGCGACCGGCACCAGGAAGGTTTGTGGACTTCTTGTTGGCCTTGAAAGCGAGCAACGACTCTGACACTCTGCTCCAATTGCGCACAGAGTTGTAAGGAACGGAAGGCTCAGTGGCGACTTTGCGGTACAACTTTGTCTTAAGAAGCTCGAGGGCTCGTACCTTAAGTGATATTGGGTATGTACAACGATGGGTTCCAATCGGGTTTGCGGTGCCCTCTTGTACCATTTCGTTGGAATTGACAAGTGCAGTGTCGACATCACACGAGTCAACATTTCGCGGGCATTGTAATACGAATTGGCGCGAGTATTTTATTTTAACCAATGAAGTTAGATTTCCACATTGAGCTTCTTTAATTGGCTAAATGTTGCATTTGTAATTTTCCAACTTCGGTGCGGCTTAAATTCCCTCGTTGTCTGTACTACAGAGAACCGGGGATGAACTCGCCCACAGTTGCATTTAACTTTATCTTGGCTATTGTATGAGAGGCCGAGACAGTTGGACATATTAATATTGCTGCAAAACAAGGTCAGTTCGAGGATTTTAGCCAATCAATCACAAGGTGTTGTAACGTGATGCTAAAATGTCGCATAAAATCAACGAATTTGGACACATCGACGTGCGCAATGGATTCAGGAGGGGCTTTATCCCGGGAAACTTCCAACGACGAAAACACAACCGACAAAGTATATTACGACTCCTCACGAGGAATAGCTTTCTCGAACGAGCGAATAATCATCCCTGGTGCTATAGAATCCCATACTTTCAAAATTCGCTTCACCATCGCCAACCGTTTCTCTGCAGCTGTTTTAACCTTAACCTTATGCAGCCACCCAGTGCGACACTTGGCCTATTGGGCCCCATCACAATGACATCAAGCGGCTGAACGGTACTTGTTGCGTTTGCCGGCAATTCTTCCAGCACATTGTAGATGTTTCCACGGACAAAATCGCACGCCGCAGGTTTGACATGCGCCGACAGATTATCAACCACCACGACAGACGGAGCTTCGATCTCGAACTGCAAAAGTTCGCGCAGGTAGATGTCCCATACTCGCTCATCCATCCAAGCATTCTCCTGGACAGCGTAGATTGCGTCGCGTGGATATGTCGGTAACTCGTCCTGCTCTACCGGGCCACCAGGCAGACCACGCACGATAATGCAAGGCGGCAACTTCCGCCCTAGACGACACGTAAGTACGGGTGATGTGTTCAATCTCACCATCTGCGCGTACTACGAGGACAGCGGTTACCCTGTCAGAGTGCTTCTGCTGGCTGTCTCCCCAACCCGAGCCCATGTACGACGTGGTGGCATGTCATAATGAAAACCGGTTTCGTCGATATTAATGATGTTCCCCAGGTCGTAGGCACTGAACCTTGCCCAGAATGAGCGAGCGTAGTCAACACGCGTGGCTTGCAAGTCGAATTGTGTCCTTTTGGACGCGCTGGGTACGCGCTGCGAGAAACCATGTCGGTGTGCAAAAGCTTGGTATGACCCCAGGAGAGCTTTGTACGCACGTGATGGATCCGATTTTTCTTCGAGGTACGCGGCAAGCCATCCAGGCTAATACGTCTTCAGCCATGTCAGAAGGTGCGCTGTTGTCAGGAACTTTTCGCAGTCGCGGACGCTATCCATGAAGTTAGCCAGTACGGCCCCGAAGTCCACGGCCTCACTGTGACCATGGCCATTCAGAGTGGCGTTACTGGTGCGTTTTTTGGATTCGAGAAACTCCTCCTTTCGAGCTAACCAACCTCGTAGAGTGGCTATGGGAACGTTCTCCTGTCGTGCGAACTCGCGGTCACTGCTGCATGGCCCGAGCGTTGAGTGTTTCTGCAGGAGAGCTTTTATTGTCCCTATAGTGTATCGCTGTTGTTTTCGATATGCAAGCAGTGTTGAGCGACGATACGGTTATAACAGCGGCTTGCGTCGGGGTGGCGCACGCCGACGAGACTGTGTACCCTTTGACATGGATGGACATTTTAAATTCTTGCTTCGGATTATTTGAATAACCCAATGAAAAGTGATAGATAGGAATATTTCCTCCAAGTAAAGTGAGTCGAACACTAGAGCTGTGATTGGCTTAATATTCCCCACCATTTGAATAATATTTCTGTATTGTGTCGAATCGATTTCGGCGGAATTTGTTTTGTCCAATGAAAGCTTTATGCTAGTTTGATTGGTTCAATTCGTGAAATGTGGTCACACGTGCCATTCCA